ATGGATATATGACTTAGAGTAAAAGGTGACTTTCTAGCCCAGATAGAGAAGCAAAGAAGAAATTTCCTTTCACAGTTATGAATAGAGAACAGTCCATGATCAAACAATGTCTAGAGAAGAGAAAACGGACAATTTTGATTACATAAAATTTAAAAGTTTTTACACAAATACACACACACTCAAAACAAACAAACAAACAAAAGCAAATGCAGCTGACATTAGAAGTGAAGAGGGAAATTGGGGGAAATCATTGCAACAAGTTTCTCTGATAAAAGTTCTCATTTTCAAGATATATTAAGAAATGATTCAAATTTTTAAATTTATAATGGTCAAAAGATATGAATTGGAAGTTTTTAAGATCATATTTCTTTAATACCTTAAAATATGCATTAGGTTTATAGTGTTATAATTTTATTTCAGAAAAACTAAGGAAGTAAAAGAATAAGAACAATGTCATCCATTTTTTTTTCTTTTTTTTTATTTTTTAGACAATTGGGGTTAAATGACTTGCCCAGGGTCACACAGCTAGTAAATGTCAAGTGTTTGATCTGAGGCCAGATTTGAACTCAGGTTCTCCTGACTTCAGGGCTAGTGCTCTATCCACTGCACCACCTCGCTGCCCCTTAAATTTTTCTTCAAAATCAGTCTTATGTTATACCATAAATGGGTTATGATGACATGATAACATGGTCAAATAAAAGCAAAAGTATTCCCTAGAAGGTGAAATTGCATTTGCAAAAACAAAGTTATCCCTAGTGACCCCATTATCCACATTTAAATTTCTGCAAAATAAATGGGAAAAAATACAGCATAACAGCATTCATGGGATCCAGCTGTCATTGAACATATGGTGAATTCATGCTCAAATATATGATTTTACATTTCACATAAATGTGTTCAATCAAAAAAAGCCTGTAATGTTTAATTTTAATTGCCTGAAACATCCTGCAAGATTTTTATAATATCTAGTTTTTCCACTTGAAAAGTTTCACTATATTTTCACATTGGCTTGCAAATGCTTTTTTTTACATTTGCTTCAGCCAATTCAATCAGTATTTTTCAAAGGAAATTCTTCACTTCAGGAGTAGTCTTTACTGAATTAAAAAAAAAAAAGGTGTCTTGGAATTAAATAAATGGAATGTTCAGCTTTACTCCAACAACAGAAATAATAGACTATACTGCTCTCTTTGAAGAAGTGTATTAACTACTTAAGGCCACCAAAGGGTCACTTAAGTACAGATAATTTGCTAACCAGGACAGTAGTATACAGAAAACAATGGATGATATACTATCTAACCACTTGAGGAGGTGATAGTGAGAGAAAGAAAGCACAGTATATGTAACTGAACTTCCCAAGCAGATTTCCAGGTCCCTAGGTAAAAGGAAAACCATTAATTTTTACAGATAGTGTATACTAAATTTCATAATCCTTCTCTCACACTTAAAACTTCCTTCAACACTTTCTTTTGCAGTGGTCCCATACTACTTTACATCATTTGTGTACATACTTTTCCTCCCTTTTGGATTATAGGCTCCTGATAATACCAATAATAACAATAACACATTTCATTGTGTTTTGCAGTTCAAAACATCTCTGTGAAGTAAGTTCACAAATCATTATGTGCATTTTATAGATAAGAAAAGTGAGACTCAGAGGAGTTGTGACTTGCCTGAGTCACAAAATGTGACCCTAGATATCATCCTATCTTCTACACAGAACCCTGTACAGCTTTACTATAACTAGTGTCTTAGACTAATGTTGGTTATTATTTGACTGCTTCTGGCAGATGTATGGTATATGTTGCAAATACAGGATTTTTTAAAACAATATCGAGGGCAGAAAGTTAGCGTTAGACATCATTAGAATTCAGGAAACTTTCTCCAAATGCTCCTTGCAACTTCAAGTCTAACACAGAAAGATGGCAACTCATTGGCCGTTACATATAGTCTCAAAAACAATGTTACTAGAATAGGAAATTAGCTTGAGCCTCCAGTAATTATACAAACACACACACACACACACGCACACACAATTAATTTTAGAGGTACTGAAGCAAATGAGTTTAATTAGATAAAACTTTTACATATATTAGTGTAGTTTCCATTCTCAGAGTTTTTTCTAGTTCTCCTTCTGGGTCTTTGCAATCAATAAAAAAAATACTTGTATCCAATAAAGAACTGTTTATTAGACCTTAATTAAAGTCCAGATCTCTATTGATTCTAAATCTAAAACTGCATCTTATTTTATCTTGCCAAATCCAGTACCTAGCACAGAGCCATACCTATAGTAGATGCTTACAAATATAAATGTGAGTATTTATATACTCATTGAAAAAAATTAGCATAGTCTGGTTCTCATTTTTTAAGGGAAAAGTTGTTTGGTTAAAGTGAATAGAGATACCCTTCAGCCCTACCCCATATCCATTAGAAAGACTTTTTTTCCAGGAGGAGGAAAAAAAGGAGGAGCAGGGGTAGGAGAAGACAGAGGAGGGGGAGGGAGTGAGAAGGAGGAGAAGAGGAAAAAGAGGGGGAGGGCGGGGGCTATAGACCAAGGTGTCAAACTCAAATGCAGCCTGTAAAACTCCCATGTGCAGCCTGAACTACATTCAAATGTAATTAGGGAATGTTTAACAAAATAAATAAAAGTACAATACAAGATAGATAATATTAATTTGTGATTTTCTAAGTCACCTTGCTGCCTGTGGAGATCCATTTCTATTTGAGTTTGAAATTACTAATGTCATCTTTGTGAAGTTTAAAGGCAGTGAGTGGTTATTGGTTTCAAGTTAAGGAACCTTAGAAATCATCTAGTCCAACCCCTTCATTTTACAAAGAAAGAATCTGAAGTTGAGGAAGAAATTTGCTTTCCCAAAGTCACACTGGTTGTGACCAGAGCCTGAATCTGAAACTAGAATCTCTGAGTTCCAAGAGATTACTCCAAATACAATGCTTTTCCCACAAAGGTCCCCTGAACCAGTAATTCTCAAAATGTGATTTATAGAGATCCTTTCAGCAGATCTCTTATGTTTAATAAGACCACAGAGTCTATACTTATTCTCCTTATGGCTTGAATTTGAAAGTTGTTTATGTCATTGAATTAGAACTAGACGCTACCTCATTAATGTCTTGTTAAAAAGTGGTGCCAATTTCCTCATTCATTTTGGAAAAGGTTCATTTCAGTGTCAAGAGGGACCAGGTGGGGTAGGTGATCTAAGGGGCCTTCCTTGCCAGCATGGTCTGTGGGCTAGAAGAGTCAGAAAAGCTACTGTCCTATGTTCTGGGGCTCTAATGGTCTCCATGCTCCTGGAAACCAGCAATCAGCAAACAGGCATGGAAGTTTGTCCCCTTCATGACTCTGCTAGTAGTGCAGTGGGTCAATCAGGGTGTTTCTCTTGTGACCTAGTTGTTATTGTTCTCATTTTTGTGCCTGTTGTTTAGTATTGGGAGTAGGTTTGTACCGAACCAGGCACATTCCCTCCCAGTGAACTCTCGTGATCAACAACTGTTCCCTTTTGTAAGAAGTTTGACCGGATAACAGACACAGCCCAGAGACCAGGGAGCAGAGTTTCATTCTGAATAAAAATGTTACTGGCCTGGATGAAGACCATAAGATTTAGAGCCAGAAGGAGTAACCAGAGAGTGTGCAGAATGTGGAGACAGAGCATACCTAAGGCCACTTCTAACTCAAAATCCTATTAATTTATAAGGCCTGGGGATATTAAATGACCTGCCCAAAGTCACACAGGTAGTAGTAGCAGTAAGTAACAGAACCAGGATTTATGTTTTGGCACCTTGTCTCCCTTTAGGAAGCAGTATGGTCCATGAAAAAAAATGCTGCATTTGGCATCAGAGGGCCTGGGTTCAAATCCCATGGCTCTGCCTTGCTAACTTAGGGCAAATCACTTCACTTCTGGGTGAAATTATAAAATGAAGGAATTGGATTAAAATCTGGAGATGTTTGCCCTCACTGAGGGTAAAACTCTGCACTGGGGGGATTAAAAATAAGAAGATTAAAATGTAATTGAGAAATGTTTAACTAACAAAATAAGTAAGAAATACAATACAACATAACTAATGTTATTTTCTAGTTTTCTAAGTCAAAATGCTGCTGAAAGGGATCCATTTCTATTTGAGTTTGACACCACTGAACTGGATGACCTCTAAGATCACTTCCAGCTTTAAATCTATGACCCTATTAGTGCAAATCCAGGGTTCTTTCCATCAGTTTTGAGTCATCAAACCCATTATCTGCGCCTCATAAGTACCATTCTGTATAGAATTGTACTACCTGCCCAAACCATCACATTTCTTGTGACAGTAACATACTCAGATTTTTTCACAATGCATGGCATAATTAACAGAGTGCTAGACTTGGAGACAAGACCTGGATTTGAATCCTGCCTTAGACACTACTTGGTTGATTCTTGGTCAGTCACTTAATTTCTATGAGACTCAGTTTTCTCATCTGTAAAACAGAGAAAAATAGCACCTTCCTTACAAGTTTGTTGAATCAAATGAGACAATGTATGCAAATGCAAAGCATTTTACAAATCTTAACATGTTATAAAAATTTTTGGTCAATCATTTTTCGTCATGTCTGACTCTTTGTGACCCCATTTTTGGGGCTTTCTTGACAAAGGTACTGGAGTGGTTGGCCATTTCCTTCTCCAGCTCATTTTACAGGTGAGGAAACTGAGGCAAACAGGGTTAAGTGACTTTCCAGGGTCACACAGCTAGTAAGTGCCTGAGGCCAGATTTGAACTCAGGAAGATTAATCTTCCTACCCCCAGGAGTGGCACTCTATTCGCTGTGCCACCTAGCCCGTTATAAAAAATACCAGACATTATTATTGTTACCTTCATTAATAATATCATGGCAGGGTGGGGGGAAGTATCCTATAAAATTATACTCTCACACCTATGGAGCATCTAATTAGTTCAGGTATCTTCAGAATAAAGTAGTAAGAAACTTTGTCACCTGTTTTTCTGTTTTCTTTTCAGATTATCAAAGAGCCTCCTCCACCCCCAGCAGAGGAAAATGATGTAAGTATGGCAAGAATGATCACACCTTTCTTGAGGAGTGTTTCACTAGTTCTACAAAGCCAAGCAGAATGGGCCAGAGGTCTAATTAGGTCTGTCTATTCAAGGAAATTCAATGCCTTGATAAAGGCCATGTGGACCAGAATTATGAGGAAGTAAAATTTCTATGTACTCTTTTAACCATATATTAAGACAGGAGTTGAATCAGCTATTCACCTGGATGAAATCATTACTCTATTACTCTATAATTACACTAAAGTCATTGTTCAAAATTAGTTTTTAAAAAATATTTTTGAGGTTTTCCTTAAAAAGCTACAAAACTGGTGATGACTGATTTCAACAATCTCTGATTTCATCTACGTGGATATACCCTCCACCGACACTGATAGAAACCCCTTAGTAAATAGTTTTAATAAGTTGTTGTGGTTTAAAAAAATCCATCAATTGATGGCAAACCTTTAGGCACTGAACCACTGGCATTTGGATGAAAGACCTAAAGTCTGCCACATTAGTTCTACTCAGAATTTCTCTATCTGGGTAGAACTTTCCAGAGTTTGTATGACATTGGCATGGTCTCTGAGGTCTCTTTTGGTTCTAGATCTATGATTCGATGAGAACCTTCAAGAACCCAGGGCCACTCTCATTCTGTAACACAATAGCAGAGGAGCAATTTGTTCAAAGGTCGTTCTAATGTCACTGTTACTGTGCCTGTCATTTTTAAAGAGAAAATTACAGCCACTCACCATCTCTTGCAAGGTGAAATTTTATGTATGGAATTACTATTTGGGAGGAGGCGGGAGAAGGGGGAAGCTATTATATGATCTAGAAACTTCTTAGTTTTAGAAACTTTTTTTTCTGGGGTTTTTTTTTCATTTTAGACTCAAAGAATAGAGAAAAGGGGGAAAATATAAACTTAAATATTGAAACTTAAATACAAAGTAAGAAAAGAAAAAAATGTCACATGCATAGCAGAACATAAGAGAGTATTCAAAATTTGTAGCAATAAATTTTCATTTCAAGAAAGCCATTATGATAAATACTACACATTGGGTTAAGAGTTGTCCATCTTTTCTTTGCTTCCTCGTAAGTTGTCTTTTGTTCTCTGCTATGCACTTTTTACTTTGTTCTTTTTTCCCCCTTCCTTCCCCTACCCCCAGAAGGCTATAATTAAGCATGAATATATTTATATGTAGATATAGATATAGATATAGATATATACATACACATGTGCATATATACACATATATACGTACATATATATGTACTCTCTCTAACAAATTCTACTCCTGCTTCTTGTTTTTGTGTTTGTACATATATCTTATTTCCTATTTATTTCCTATCCCTCCTGACTCCTCTACTTCTATTATTCCATTACTACTAGTAGATTCTTCTACTAGTTTTAGAATCTTGAAATATACCAGTGCCCGATTCTTCCTTTAAAACAATAATATTAAAAATTTTGCATAGTATAGTGATGAGTGCACACAAGAGAAATGACTTGGGACCCATTTATGCTTTCAAGTCTTCCTCAAGTAAAAAAAACATAAATAAAGTGTTTTGCAGGTATCAAATACTCAAATGGATCTGTGATCTCACAGAGTCAGTCATTTGCTCCAACAATTCAAATCCTAACCCATCCACACATGCCACTCCATACAACTCTCATCCGAGGTCCACCAAAAGTTCACCACAGAGTGTGTCCATCCCCATTCTCTTCAGACACTGTAAGGTGATCAGTACAGAACTCTGGCTGTCCCACTGTCAGCCCTCTTGCTCCATAACCAGCCTCTCTTCTCCTCCTGTCATACAAACCTTGGATAATATCCTTTACCTCAAGTTCTTCTTAAAGTTTCTTCTTGGTTTTTTTTTTTTTCTCGCTGTCTGTTTATACCTCTCATGTAACTTTCTCTTGCCCCTGTGAGATGCTCATGTTCTGTTCCTTAGAAGCAATGATATTCCATACTCCTTGCCAGAAAACAACACTGGTAAAATGTTAGTATTGAAAAGATTGGTCTTTGTTTTCATGGGAAGCTTTGGGTCAGAGAAAGAGCTTTACAATTTCCTTAAAGGTATCCTCCTCCTTTACTACTGGGCCCAGCTGATTTTCTATCTGTATTGTCTTTCCCAGATATGCATACTGTTGGATTATTCAATTCAATTGCATGTTGAAATCTAAGCGATAGAAATGCACTTGATCAATCAATAAACATTTATTAAATACCTACTATGTGCCAGGCACTGTTATCTTTTTAGTGCCAGTGAACAGGCCAGATTCCTTTGAGTGATTACAGAGTTCTAGAAGGCTTTGCCAAGTCTTGGGAATCGATAACGATCAAGACAATATCATTTACAAAAAAGTATCACTGAATAAGCGTTTATTAAGCACTTCGTGTCAGACACTGTGCTAAGTACTAGGAACATGAAAAAGGTAAAAGACAGTCCTTGCCCTCAGGGAGTTCAAAGTCTCACGAGGGAACGACAAGCAAACGAGGATGTACTAACAAGCCATATGCAGGATAAACAGTAAATTATCAATAGAGGAGAGACCCTAGGACTAAGAGATTGAGAAGTGCTTCCTGCAGAAGGTAGGATGTTAGCTAGGACTGAAGGATGCCAGGGAAGCCCATGGGCAGAGATAAGGAGGGGGGCAATTCTCAAACGGGAGGTGTGGGATAGCTGGTGAATATACCCTAAGCTAAGGGATAGAGTGCCTCTTTCAAGGAACAGCAACAGGCCAGTGTCACCGGATCCCAGAGTACATGAGGGGCAGGTGTCTAAGGAGAAAGAAGACTGGAAGGGTGAAAGGGATTAGATTATGAAGAACTTTTAACACTAAGCTGTTGTTCATTCATTTCAGTCATGTCCGACTCTTTGTGACCCCATTTGGGGTTTTCTTGGCAAAGATATTGGAGTAAAATGCCATTTCCTTCTCCATCTTATTCGACAAGTGAGGAACTGAGGCAAACAGAGTTAAGTGACTTGCCCAGATTAACATAGCTAGTAAGTGTCTGAGGCTGGATTTGAGCTAAAGGAGACAAGTCTTCCTGACTCCAGGCCTGGTACTCTATCCACTGTACCACCTAGCCACCCTTGAACACTAAACAGAAGATTTTATATTCAAACATGGCAGGTGACAAGAATTTATTAAGTGGGGGTGGTGGTCATGATCAGATCTGTACTTTAAGAAAGTCACTTTGGAGGCTGAATGGAGAGAGGACTGGAGTAGGGAGAGATTTATATAAAGCAGGCCAACAAGTAGGCTATTACAATAGTCTAGAGGTGAAGAGATGAGGACCTACTTTGAGGTAGTGGCAATATCAGACAAGAAAGTGGGTATATTTGAGAGATATTATAAAGGTGATATCAGTAGGCTTTGTCAATAGGTTGGTGGAGGTGGTAAGAAATACTGAGGAGTTGAGGATTCAAACCTAGGATATGAGGAAAATGGTGGTACCCTCAACATTAATTGGAAAGTTTGGAAGGAGATGAAAGTCAAGGGGGAAAGATAATGAGTTAAGTTTTGAATGTTTGGAGTTTAAAATGCCTCTTGGTGGAGCAGTGGATAGAGTGCCAGGTCTGGAGTTAGGAAGACTCATCTTCCCAAGTTCAAATCTGGCCTTGGACACTAACTAGCTACGTGACCCTGGTCAAGCCACTTAACCCTGTTTGCATCAGTTTCTTCATCTGTAAAATAAACTGGAGAAGGAAATGGCAAAACATTCTAGTATCTTTGCCAAGAAAATCCCAAGTAAGTTCATGAAGAGGTGCACTTTACTTAAAATGACTGAACAACAACAGGAAATCCAGTTCAAGATGCCTAAGAGGCACTTGGAGATGAGAAACTAGAGGCTGACAAAGAGATTATGTCAGGATAAGCAGATCTGAGAATTATCAGGAAAGAGATGATAATTGAAGTCATGGGAACTGATAGGTCACCCTGTGAAATAGTATAGAGAAAGACAAGAAGAAGGCTTTGTGGAAAACCCCCTGTTAGTGAGCATGATCTGAATGAAGATCCAGCAAAGGAAACAGAAGAAAGAGTTAGACTAGGCAGGAAGAGAACCAGAAAAGAGCAGTGTCCCAAAAAACCTAGAGAGAAGAGGTAGATACCAAGGACAAGAGTATGAGAAGAATCCTAGCAAATCCCCAGCAAATCCCTCCTCAACCTGAACTCTGTGCTGAATCTTCTCCACCATAATACTGAATACTTCTTCCAGTTTTGTGCATGACTTAATGCTTATTTAGAGGATCACAGAACAGGATTATGTCTATTGTTACTGACTGATCTTCATTCACAAATGGGAAACGCTTTACTGTAAAGGATCCTGTAAGTTAGCATTTTGTTCTATCAAATCTAATACTTTCTACAGGAAACAAACTATACGCACAATGATATCATATATTCTTTACATCTTCAAGCTAATTGTAAGATGATAAGGATATGTTCCCTACTAACATCCTCCTCAAGAATGACCTAATTTTATGTATATATACTCATAGAAAGATTTTCTATAGATGGAGGAGTAAGCATATAGGTTGATAGTCCTTGATGATTTCTTGGTCAGCTTTTTTGGCATGGATCAGGTCTGAGATTTTTTTTCATGCTTTTAAATATTCCCTCTCCTTTGTGTAATCACTATTTCAGTCCCTCAAGCCCCTCACAACTGTATCATATCTAGCATGGTTCTCCTTTATATAGGCTTGATTCAAGCCAATTACTTTTCTGATCTTTATTTTCTTTTGTGACATTTCTACGTCCTCTGCAAACACCTGAGGGGCTATGATGTTAGAATTCAGATTTGGTGATTCCACTATCCTTGATGGAGAAAACAGTTTTTGCATATCATTTCCATTTTTCTTTTGTTGTAGATTTTCCATTTTCATCCTCAAATACTCTTGAGATAACTTTGTTCCTCTCACAAGTTAGCTCACCAAGTTTTCTTTAAACTAATTTTACCATCTACTACTTCTCCCTGCTTCATGTAATGTCACTCCGCATAATC